ATAACAACCAAGGAGATGAAGCACTCACACCTAATCCATTAGTTTTTGGACATAAGCTTAAGCTTGAATCAAATCTTAGTGCTTGCAACAATATAGAACAAGATGTGCATATACAAAACAGTATGTTATCTAATACATCGAATCGTTTTAGAAGTAGATTCAAAAGTGAGTACTTGACAGAGTTGCGTGAATATCATAAATCGAAGCGGAGTAATAAATGTAATGGTATTCGTGTTAATGACATTGTATTAATTGAAAGTGATAACTGTAAAAGACAATTATGGAAACTAGCACGTGTTGAAGAATTGTTATATTCAAACGACGGAGTTGTTCGCGTTGCTAAAGTTCGTTACAAACAAGAAAGTGGTAATTCGTTTAATTAATCGACCCATTAATAAACTATACCCTACTGAATATTCAGACAATAAAAAAATAGTAACTGCTGCCTTTATTAACAAGAAGAATATTCTTTTACTTGTAAATGGTGGCCGGGAGTGTTGAAGCCTATTTGACTTCCCGCGAATAATTTATTGATTATTACTATTTCTCGCAGAGCATTGCGTCTTAAGCCATGCTCTCTTATCCTAGTTGTACATTAACTTTACTATCTTACAACTCTTCTTACTATTTAATATATTATTGAAACTCACATAGTAGTTATTTCAAATTATGTAAAGTAAACCGTTGAGTAGATTTAAGTACTCAATAATAATTGCATACAGTGTTAGAAGGTGCAATACGTACTGTTAATTAGACCACCAAATTAATGTACGCCAAAAAAGACTTGAATAGAACTCACTTGATATAAAGGTATTGTGGTTTATCCTCCTCTTTCTGATCGCCACATAGAGACCTTATTACCAAGGACCGTAATGACAAGTTTAGCTCCTAACGGAACGTCATAACTCTCTCTACGTACCGAGAGTAAGGTGAGTTTGGGAAGAACGAAGATATGAAAGAGTGAAAGACAGAAGTAGTCGAGTTAGGAAGATAGCATAGAGAAAGCGGACAAGAATTGCAAATGATGTTAGAAGGTGCAAAAGACTTAAAGAGTTTAATTGATATAAACTCTTTCTCGACTTACTTTGTCGTCAATAGGGTTTAAAAACTAATCTTTTATATGAAAACTTGCTACTAAATTGCTAGCGGGTTTGTTTTTAAAAGGAATCTTTTTTTATTAAAATTACTTTTATTTTTTAAAATAGGCTAATATTGCTTGTCGGTTTGTAATTTTTTTAAATATAATTTGTTCTCTTTTATAACTACTTTATTTCTTTTTTAAAATCGGCTAAGATTGCTTTTGGGTTTGTATTTTTTTTTAATTCTTTTTATTTTTTTATTTTTTTTTTTTTTTTAACAAAATTGAAAAAATTACTAACTAGTTCTATTTAATAATATATTAAAAGATCTATATATGTAAGAGGACGACAGTGGCAATGCAAATGAAATACTTTTACTTGTTATTAACTTTTATTTAAAAAATTATTATCCTTTTTAAAAAAAATATTCCGCTTCTTTAATCATTTAAAAAAATATTTTGTTTCTTCAATAAAAATAAAAGCTCGATTTTATTACAAATGTCTTGACAAACGCATTGTTAAATATCGTAACTCTCTGTAAAGACTGAAAAGTAGATAATTAAATATAGCGCAAACATTTGCTTAAAAGTATTTTTTTTTTTTGTACTAAAAAGTAAAAAAAAAACTTTTTAATTTAAAGTTAATAGATCAGTAAACTAAATATTGACAGGTATCTTTTTATATAAACCTTGTCTAGACCTGTCAATCGTTAGTTTACTGAAATATTAAATTTAAATTAAAAAGGCTTTTTTCTACTTTTTAGTATAAAAAAAATTATATTTTTAAGCAAATGTTATTGCTATATTTTATTGAAAATCCATTGATATTATATCCATAGCATATATAAAAATATTATATATTATAACAAACAAAAGGGAGAGAGTTTCTAAATTAGCCTAAAGATTCTATAAACATGAAAATAGTAAGAGAAATTTGCGCGTGAATCACAGAAGAGAAACTTTTCTTACTATTGAACTTAAAGAGTTAATTTTTTTTTTTTTTTCTGTTTACATTTGCCGTAAAATAAATACTATATTTTACAAGAACAAAGAAAACAAGGCTTCTGAAAGAAGATCTACTGATCTTATCATTAGAACCTTTACAATTTTATCATACCATAAAAACTGAAAATATAAATCCAAAAACGGCCGCAATAATAAATATATAATAATAAATTCATAATATTAATCACGTATCTGTAATAATAATTCTCACAAATCTGTTATAATAATCCATAATAATAAATTTATAGATCTGATATAAATTAAAGAAAATAAATTTAATAATATAAATATTATTATAAATCTCATAAATCGAGTTTATACTTCAAGCTAATAGTAACTTAAAATGTCATCCATAGCAAGAATGAATTTTTTTAATTCATTTTTAAAAACAGAAAAACGGATAAAAGGATCAAAATTAGGCAGAACTATTTTATTCCAAAGGTAAGGTGCTCTATAATTAATACAAAATTTATTAAAATTTGTTCTACAAAATGGTTCATTTAGCAAATCTTTATTTCTTAGTGAGTACTTATTAGTAGGTTTTAATGTAAAAAAGTCGTTAAAAATAGGTAGGGATAAATTGTTTTTCCACATATAAGTAAAACATAAAATATTGAAAACATTTTCATTTCATCAAAGAAAGGCTTTGTATGTGTAGAGCGATCCACATAATTAATCACGCGAATCGCATGTTTCTGTTGGCGATATAGACGTTGTAGTTTACTTTTTTCGGTACTACCCCATAATTAAGTCTGCGCGTTTAAAATACTTTTCTTACTGAAATTTATTTCTTATAGGAAAAAAAATCTACATTCTAAATTTTATTTTCTTCCAAAATAATTAATGCCCCATATTACCTGGGTCATGGTAAGGTCTTTTTTTCACATATTTTTAAGTTATTTTTACATATTTAAAAATTTTTTATACCAATTGAAATTAATCAAATACTTCAGGCGGGTATTTTAAATATACTTAAAAATAACAGCTGATAAGTAGCAGTTTGCGCAATTGCAACTGAATTATTTAAAAGTTTAATAAGGTATTTTTATTATACATTATTTTTTCTGTATATTTAGGAGGTAGACATTATGTATAGTTTTTCTTTTTTATAAATATATAAATTTATCTTTATACTGCTTACTAAAATATATTGAAGTAAGGAATAAGTAGAGAAATGGTCGGTATGGAATGGACTTTCCCAAAAAACTATTTTACAAAAAACTAGTTTTATTATAGCCGTTGTTATTTTTACTACTAATATAATCATTATTATTTTTACTACTATAATTACTGTAATATCAACCATTACAAAGCGGTTTACGTATGTCTTGAGAAAAAGACTTATTTTTATAATTTTATTTGTAATTTTTAACAAAAGTAATTTTAATAATATAAGGTGTTAATACTATGAGGTGTTAATAGTATGAGGTGTTAATAACAATGTGAGGTGTTAATAATATAAAGTGTTAATAATATGAGGTGTTAACAATATAAGGTGTTAAATCTGAGTAACAAAGTTTGAAAATTAATTCTGTTAGTGAAAATTGCAAATTTTTATTCTAAATATACTAGTTTTCATCATGCATTGCAAAAATGATTTTTAGAACAATAAGTTTAGGCTGCTTATAAGTTTGTTTTAAAAGAAAAAGAGTTATTATTTAATGATACTGAATTTTGTCTCATATAATTGTCGGAAAAAAGTATTTATTTTCTATAGTTTTCAAGGTACGCTATAAGGTATGAATCTCATACCCAATAGCCAGAAGTTTAATTCCTCCAAATATTTATCTACTTTAGTTATTTGGACTATCGAGTAAAAAACTCGTTTAGTCTAATTTATATTTTTTGGTTTGAAATTTTGACGTCAGGGACAAGTTATTAATATTCTAATTCAACTGTTTTAGTTTTTGTAAATAACTTGATGAAATAAAACTACATAAATCCTGCTAACTTTTATATGAATCCTTTATAAGTTTTATAAAAGTCCCACTAACTTTTGAATAAATCCCACTAACTTTTATATATACTCTAATCCTTTATCTAAATCCTGCACATTTTTATATGTATTGTTGACATACTAAGTACAAAGATTTTAAATAAAGTTTTGAGAAAAAGCTACAATGAATGCTAATATTTTTAAACAATTTTTGTACAATAATACAAACATTAAGTAATGTACATATACATTTACATGAATTCATACTAGTATTTCTTTATTTTATACTTTTTTTTTTCGATTTAAGTGATAAACTTTTATTTTGTATAAGAGAAAATACTTAAAACATATATAAATAAATAATTAAATGTAGAATAGAGCCGCCGTAGCTAGTGCTTAGCGCGCTTGACTTAGAAGCTAAAGTTTCGTTGTTTGACGCCACTTCTGGGCAAGCTTTTATAACATCGGTAAGGAATGAGGAGTAAAATTTTATTCAAATGCTCTTCCGCGGCGCCTAATGATAATACTGTGAGGACATCTTAAGGCACCAAAAATAAAAAAATAAATGAAAAAAAAATATGTAAAAAAATGTAGAGTGTTCCTTTTTTGAACGATAAGCGTTATTAACTTTTGTTAACGGCAGTTAAAATTAAAAGCAAAAAAGAAATTTTTGTATGAATATAAATCTCAATAATTCAAACAAATAATTAACAAAAATCGGCAATACTGCAATAATAATAATATATAGCAGATGCTACTATCATAGTTAGTCGCTAGCCCTTTTACAACTTGAACCTTTTTTTTTTTTATAGTAACTCCTATTTTTTACAAATTTTTTAAAAGAATTTAACTTTTTTAAAAATAAATATTTTTAAAAATTAATAAAGTTTATTTAGTAGTTTAAGAAATTTTTAAATATGGTAATTTTATAATTTGTACAATTGCCAATTTTATAACTGGTATAAGTGTTAACTTACATAGTAGAATCGTTCACCTTGGCAAACGAGTCGGAAATAAAGGACAACCAGCTGTTAACTGTTTTTACTGATTTTTCAGCAGAATACGAGTTATCATTTGATTTTAAACCAATAACATACTTGAGCAAATGGGCAAGTATAATTCATTTTACAATTGAAAATGACTGTTGTAACTACGGCGATAGAACGCCAGGAGTATGGATATCACCATATAATATTTTACATGTTCAGTCAGCTATAAGTGGTGTTGGTACGACGCAGTTTAATTTAAATCAAATACTACCATTAAATGAGTGGATAAAAATTAAAATATCACAAATCAATGTCACGAAAAAATACATATTTTCTATTGAAGTTGCAAATAAAACTGTTTACAGCATACAAAATACACTTTCAAAAAGTTTTAGTAATGTGAAAGTTTATTTAGGTGATCCATGGAATTCTGCACAACCTGGATTCATAAGGAGTTTGATAATAGTGAACATGATTGAAGGTTAAATTTGATAAAAATAAGTTAAAAATATACGTATGCAAATTATATAAGATATAATTTATGATTTGATAAAAATTTTCTTTTTCTTTTTAGTTACAGAAATGTTTTGTAAACCACTTATCGGAGTTAACATTAGTGGTCAAGTTTCGAATATGTAAAATTAAATTTAATATATTTAAAAAAATTAATATAATAAAATTAATGAATATTAATATATTCAGCTATACTATAACATTTGTATTTATTTTAATTTTTTATCTCTAGAAATTTCTTAACTATTAATACTACACTTAGTTATGCATATGAAACAGGTGCAATTGCTTACAACTTAACGTGGGAGTATATGTTACCATATTTTTCAAAGATATCTTCTCAGAGTAAAACTCATTTAGAAGTAGGCTCTACTTACACAGTAAGATTTTATATTAATATATCTTCAACTTATGTCTTTATTTTTTTTTTTATTGTTCTTTGTTACAATATTTATGGTACAAATACAAATAATATAAAAAAATAAAAAATAACAAGTCAAAATATCGTGAAGAAATAAATATTAGAAACGCGGATGCTCAAAGAAATTAAACGTGTTTTTTTTCTATGGTTTTTTCTATTTGGTATGGTGTTTACGGCTTGCATCAATCAAATTACTGTGTCTTCCGAACAGCTGACTAATGCAAATAATAATGTTCATACTTTTCTAGATAAATCTCTTACGCACGCTGAATCAAATTTGTCGAAAATAATCAGTGAATCTTATTAATCGTTATATATTATTTACTATATATCTCTATATATAATCAATGTAATCACATTTCCAGACTGAATATAGTACATTTCCAGATTGTTCAAAACGTTGTACAAAAGGACCTAGATACGATGGTTAACGCTGAGTGTTCAGCCAAACTACTAAATTTCTGTTTACGCTTTTGACAACAGAATTACACACACACATATAAACACACACAAATGTGAGTAAAACTTGTCTAGCGACTACCTAGCAACGTTTGTAACAACTAAGATAACTGTTTATTGGTTTTAATCTTTAGTAACTGGTACACATTACTTAAAGCTTTTTTATAATTCTTATTGTACCAAGTTCCTTATTATAACTTGCTACTTATTATACATAATTATTACATACATATAGAATTGAACTGGGTATATTGGGACAGTTATGCATAAAGCCTTATATCTCAGTTAAATTTTTTTTTTCCAAATATTTTTTTTAATGCATTTTAAATTATTGTGCTACGTTAGAGTTAAATAAAAATTTATTTTAAAACAACTGACATTCACTAAAAGTACCAAAATGAATTAGTAAGTTTGTAATTACAACCATTTTTTTACAGTTTGATGATTTTATTTTTAATATTAGTAATAAAAAATAAACTTAAAGACATTGTTATTTCTATCAACTTAACTTTGATTATTAATAGTGCCTAAATGGGCTGTGGAGTCGGAGTCAAAGTTGTGGAGTTGCGACAATTTTAGCGGAGTCGTAGTCGGAGTCGCTAAAAAAACTGCGACTCCGACTCAGATAGTAATATTTCTTGGTATTGCACGTGTATGTACAAAACATTCATTTAACCTTATGTTCATTCTAAACTTCAAAGAACGTTGCATAAATTTGTAAAAAAAAAAAAATTTTAACTCATCACGTAATATTTTTTCAAGAATTCAAAGAATTTTTCAAAAATTTTGCTTTAAAGTTGGAGTCAGAGTTGGAATTGGAGTCGGAGTCAGAGTTGTATTCAAAAAATTTCAACAACTGGAGTCGGAGTCGGAGTCGTTACTTTTTTTTACGACTCCACACCCCTGGTGCCTTATGTAAAGAAACTATGTTAGAAAGATTAATCGAACAAAATGGAATCAAAAGTTTTATCTCTGAGTAAAAAGAAACTTTTTCAAATTCAAAACTTTTTCAAAAATTCAAAAAGCTAAATTGTAAATAAAAAGGAACTTAGAATTCAAAAATTTGCTCTAATTTGGCATATTGCTAATAAGCCAGCTCACCAAACAGTTTGAGGATATTTTTTTAGTGTTTTATTAGAATTGTTTTATTTTTTGTTTAATTTCAATTTAGTAGTAGTTTCCAGTTTAATAATACATACTTGTTTTGCCTAACTTAAATTTTACAATAATTTTTTAAGTTTTTTGTTTAAGGGTATTTTATAATATAACACAAATGATGTTCTTTTATTTTATTTGTTAGCTTTTTTGTTTTTATTTTTTATTTTTTGTGGTGTATGGGTGTATGGGGGTGTGGGTATGACTTTTTTAAGATTTTAGTGTCTGAACATGTTTAAATGATAAAATGGCTCCATTTTTTATTACTTTTACAGCTTTCGAACTAACGAATAACTGCTGCTTTTTAACTGTTCCGCTTTGCCCCACCCAGTTTCAGAATGAAAACATTTTGCTAGTCTAGATTTTCGTTACTTTGGTTGTCATAGCTTTAGAACCTTTTTTTTTTCCGTTTTCTTATATCAATGATTTTTAAAAAAACTTGTTAAGTTTTTTAAAAAATAAAAAGTATTTATAATGGTTAGTTTACCAGCAATTAGCATTTATTTCTTAAGTGTCCCTATATTGCATAGTTGTCCCTATAATTTTGCACAGGTTAAGTAGAGAAAAATACGAAAAGATTTGTATGTAAGTGAATCAGAGTTAATTAAGGAAAAAATAAAAGAAAAATGTAAAAATAGTAATTTAATTTTGCACATTGATACAAAAAAAGTTACAACTTTAAATGAAGACTATATTTCTGAAGTAAGCGAACGTTTAGCTATTGTTGTTACAAGTCCAGACTGGGATTTAAATACAAATGGAAAACAACAGGATGAGCTGCTAGGCATAGTTGAATGTCAATCGGGGAAAGGATATGATCAAGCATTGGCATGTTTTAATGTTATAAAAAAGTTTGGAATTGAAAGCATTATAATTGGGATTTGTGCTGACACAACAGCATGTAACACTGATTGTAATAAAGGTTGTATAAGTATTTTAGAAGAACTTTTAAATCGACCTCTGTTAAGACTTCTTTGTAGAAAACATTCACAAGAAAGACATATTTTACATGCAATAAATGCAATCAAAACAAAAAGCAAAGGTCCATCAAAATCTATTTATACGAGATTTAAAGCTGCTTGGCCAATGCATTATGAAAACGTTCAAAATAATATGGATCAGTTATCAAAGTTTCCGTGGTGCGAAGTTAGTGGAACCCCATTAGAAGATATGGCTAAAAAAAGTTTATCTTTTTGCAAAAAAGCTTTGGAACTTAATACTTTTCCCAGAAATGATTATAAACATCTGTGTCAATATGTCATTGTTTTTCTAGAAGGAAGGGAGGCAGTTCCTGAATTTATTATACACAAACCAGCTGCTGAACATGAAGCTAGATTTATGGCAGACGCTTTATACATTTTGGCAATGAAGCTTACTCAACCAATCATAAAGTTTTTAACCCTAGAGGAAGAAATAGTATTTTCAAAGGCTGCGATATATGTAGTTTCAGTTCATGCAAAAAACTTTCTTCAATCAAGTCAAATTGTTTCTGCTGCTCATAATGATTTGTGTACAGTTAAAGAGATGATAAAAATAAAAGATTTTGATGCTGATGTTTCTCAAGCTTTTATTTCAAGCTATCTTAGACACAGTTATTATTTTTCTGAAGAAACGGTTGTCTTTTGTTTATTTGATAAAAGTCTTGGCAACAAAATTAAAGAAAAAGTTTCTCAGCAGTTGTTAAAAACAAATTTACCTGAAATCTTTAAACTTAAAAAGTTTAAGCCTGTAGAAATAAATGAACATTCAGAACTTAATGATTACGTTCGTCGAAATTCTTGGCTAATTTTTAAAATAGTTCCTTACTTATCAAAATGGTTAGAAAGTTCAATTGATTTGTGGACTTATGATTCTGATTATAAAAATATGCAAAGGTTTATAAAAAGATTAGTCTGTGTCAATGACGAAAGTTGCGAAAGAGCTATTAAATTGGTAAAAGACTTTATCGATTCAACAATTAAAGAGGAGAAGTTACAAGATATTTTACTGGTTTTAAAGGAACACAGAGTTAATTTTCCATTTTATAAATGTAACTGGTCCAAAGAAATACTTAATAAATTGTAAGAAAAGTTTAACTTTTTATAAGAAAAATTCAACTGAATATTTTATGTATATTATTTACAAAACGTATTTGTAAAACCTTTAGTCAAAGTCTCATACATTTTGAACAACTTTTATTTTTTATCTTTATTAAGTACAATATTTGGATTCCTTATTAAACAAACTTTTAGAATGCAAGTGTTATTGAGTTTTTTAATCAACATTTTTTAGAGTATTTAGATAAATATAGAATTAAAAACATAGTAAAAACCAGGTCTTCAAAAGAAACCGGGTTATATTTCAAAATGTGTTATCTCGAGAAATTTTTAATATTTTGAGCTCAAATTTAGTACCAACTTTCCTAATAGTAGACCCAGCTCACTCAAAAAAAAATTATAAGTTTTGTTGGTCCTTGATCCAATAAAAAAAGCAATTTAATGAATAATTGGTCAAAAATGGCTTTTTTAAAAATATTTAAACCCTCAGGGAGGTCAGGAAAATTAAAATATTAAAATTTTTTTTTTTGGAATTGTCTTGTATATTAACAAAGAATTGGAAAATAAAGTGGCAAAGTTATAGTTTTTCTGACCCCTAAAAACGGACCTGCCTAATGTACATTTTGTGCGGTTCATTGAAGTTTTATTCATCAGTTACTCAGTGCCCCATTAGTGACAACCGCTATAAATGACTAACCAATGAACTTCTGACATTGTAGTACTGGCTTTGTCATTGGCTAGCGACTTTTGGCAGCAACCACAAATGACTCACTAAATAAACGATGATCAAAACTATAGTGGAACGCTCAAGATGCCTATTTAGATCTACTGAACTACTTCAGCCATACAATGTTTGCTGAGAATTATTAAAGAAAATACTTTTATTTAATAGATAATGTTGAGTCTTTAAGAGGTTTTAGAGGTTGACTTGAGTTGTCACTTGTGCTGCCTTGGTTCAATATTAATCGGTTCTTTTTTGTATATTGCTTGGAATGCATGTTTGACAAAGCCAAGCCATGCAATTTGATTTTTTTTATTAATACTATTTTGACTTGCTAAAGTTTTGCTCAAAACATTGCGGGACTTTTTGCACCTGACTTGGTTGGCTGTTGTTGTTATTATTGGAGTCGCTCTTATTAATTGATTTAGTTTAGGTTTAAACTGATTTTCCTAATGTTGAGTGGAAACAAACCAGTTTATAGAAATACAGTGGCTATTTGCGTTATTGTTAAAAATCACCTGAGCTAAAAGGTTGCAGTTTTAATTAAACAATCTTTTTACAAATTACTGATATTTGTCAATGAATAAAGTTTTGTATATATATATAAAATGTGAAAAAAAATGAAAGTCCTTTTAGTATAGAGGAGATCAGGGGCTAGTTGGCAGCAGGGGTAAGTTGACAAATTGCATTTTTCTGCAAAGTATTTCATCAAAAAAAGCCAGTTATTTTAGGAAACCTTCTTAGTTGACCATTTCATCTTTCACTGTAGTATTGTGGGGATTTGTGCATGCGAATAAAAGATATTGTAATTTATGTGTTTTTTTCACATTTTTGTAACTTCGGGGCAAGTTATAAAAATACCAACTAAACCCGGTTGCGATAAGACAAAAATGTCAACTTTTTCTATAACTTTTAATTTTTTTTTTAAATCGATTAGATAGATAGATCACATATATTACATGCGAAACTATAAAAAAAATACAAAGAGGGCTATAACTTTTACAACAGTTTACAAACTGTTCTTAATCGTTTAAAATTGGAAAGTGGAGATATTTGGAATTAGGATGAAACTAGTATTACCAGTAACTAATCAGAAACTAGTATTATTCAAACTCCAGATCATATTGTAGAAAGAAAGGGTTTTAAACAAATTGGGCGTGTTACTTTGGCTGAGATTTGGTAATTTAGTAAATGTGGCAGTTGCTGTTTTTGTCGGTGGAAATTCAATTTCTCTATTTTTCATATTTCCTTGTGTGAAATTTAAACGCTATTTTTTAAATGGTGCTCCTGACGGAAGTGCAGGAGCTGCAAACCCATCTGGTTGGATGACTGAAGTTCAATTTTTGCAGTTTTCCCATCATTTTGTCAAATATGCCAGAAGTACGAAAGAACGACCTGTTTTGTTGCTATTAGACAATCATGACTCTTATATTTCAGTAGAGGCTTTAGATAACTTTATAGAAAATGGGGTATCGGTTTGTTCATTTCATCTTTATTGCAGCCATAAACTTAAAGAGTTAGGGATAATGAAAGAAGTAGAACCACATCAGTTTTAACATATTCACCAAATATGAATGTTTTATTATAGAGAAAGAATCAGCTAAAAAGTAAAAGTTAGCAATTAAAGAGAGAAAACAAACGAAAAAGTTAAATGAAGATAATATTAAGATGAGTAAAAGATCAAATAGTAAAGGAAGTTTACACTCATTGGAGAAAAGTTTGAATTGTCCAAATAGCTCTGTTGAAGAAGAATGTTTTTGTTTGGTTTGTGTTGGAATGTTTTCTAAAAGTAAACCAGAGGAAGTTTGGGTTCAATGCACCCAATGTCACCTTTGGGCTCACGAGTCATGTATAATCGGAAAATCTTTGTCTTTCATTTGCAATAATTGCTGCTAACCGATTTGAAACTCCGTTAGTTAAAAATATTTATGTAATAAAACAATATAAGTTTTAATTCTTATTGTATAACCATAAATTAGGAACACTGTTTTGTTTTGTCACTGTTTTTTAATTATATTTACTTTCTATTGCTTAAAATGTTACAATGACTTGATCCAAAAGTTTGATGATATTGATAAAAGTATATTTCAGCTATGATTCCTTTAAAAATAAGGGGCGGGGGTTAAAATATTATTGGAAACACATAAATAGGACCTTTAACTTACCCCTTGAGTATAAGCAACTTACCCCAGGGTGGGGTAAGTTAACGGAACTTTTTTTTTTTTGAGGGCCCAGAAAGGACCTAAAATATTTTTTTTGTAAATGAATGCAACTTTTATAAGTTACCCAATATCAACTTTTACAAGTTACCCAATAATCATACTCTTCAAAACTATACTTTTATATTTTCAAAAAAATGTTCCGTTAGGACTAAAGAGCTCATAGAGTAAAAACGGAGTCAACTAGCCCGGTTTCCTCTATGTCATATATATTTTAATTAAATATTTATTTATTCCTTTCATCACTTAAATTACTTTTAAAACATGCAAAGGTCATAAAACTAATAATTTATACTCTAAGTTAAAATTCCAATTTCAATTCTTCTTGGAATGCTTTTTTTCATGAAATTTTTGAATACCGTTTTTTGCTTTCTGATGTTCCAGAGGTCAAATGACTTGTTTAAAGTTTCCGCTGTATTATCATCTACATCATCGTTACGACGTTTGATAATGATTTTTTTGATTCTTTCTAATCAAACACTGCATGAAGCTTAGCTCCAGACGGTTGCAAGTTTTCATTTTTTTGTTGATAAAGAAGTTTTCCTTATTAACATTAGGTATTTGCATTAAAATTAAGGAGCAATAAGTCGGATAGCTAAGTAGTCTGATAAACAGATTCAATTTGTTTTGAACGAGGATGGTCATTACGTCATCGATTTTAAAGTAAGAATGCAGATAGTTTTTGCTGTATTTTGAAAAAATAAAGAGAAATTTTAAATCTAATTTCCCAACAGCGTCTAATTTATTCAGAAAAGTTTTGTTATAATCACAAATTTCTAATATATATAATAGATTTGGTATAGCCAGAGACTTGAACAAATACACTATAGTTTTTGGTTGACAAAAACGAATTTCAGATTTTATTAGAGCTATGAAGATTGATTGAAGTTAAATAATTCTTTCGTTTACATTTGCTCATTATATTGTAACTATATTTAGTTTATGGCCTTCATTTTACCATATGAATCCGAGGTGTTTCAGATTATTATTGAGTTTCAGGGAAAATTCGTTAATTTTTATTATATTTTTTGAATCTAAACTTTTAACGGATATAATGAAGTCGGTTTTTTATGTGTTTAATTTGATAAAGAGGTTTTGACATTGCGTTTAAACTTTATTAATCAACTCTTGTAGCCCTGAAAAAATCGGACGTCGCAGGATTATATCATCTGCATAAGCAGTAATACTAGTGTATAAACCCATTACTGTTGTTCTAACTTTACAATCAAAAACAATTTTACTTATTATACTTTCAGTGTAAATGTTGTGTAAATGTGTAAATAAAATTAATCCTTGTCGCACAACTTGAGACATGCAGAAACAATTTGATTTATGTCCAAGATATGATCTATTAGCCTTTTGATTTATTTTCTAAGATATGATTTATTTTGATATGTACCCTTAGGCGTTTTAATGATTGTAGTGCGTGAACTACTGATAACGATAAGTTTTTGTTGTAATAAACTTTCTCAAATAGTAAATGTTACCTACATATAAAGTGTTGTGTATACTAACCTAATTACCAAAACAATCACTATTGCCATTCATTATCATTTATTAGTGTTTCACATTGTATATTGTCAGCTTAAGGTTTAGGAAAAAAAAAATGTATAATACGTGCCAGCTCATTTTCTTCTTAATCAACTATATTAATTACGTTTTGCTTTCGTTCTTTTATTGTATATTTTTTGTTTAATTATTTTGAATCTAATTTTTTCATGATTTTAGGCGTTTTAAATTAACCTGATCTCCTAGCTCTATATCATCTCTTTTCTTTGCATGTTACATTATGTTTTGTATTAAAATATCCTTTTGCTTTTGTCTACATTTTGTTTTGAAGTCCTTTCACTTCTTTATAATACGTTGATTTTTCAATTGTTATTGAGAAAATCTTATTTTTGATAGTTCTATTAAATAACAACTAAGTTGGTGGTTTGCCAGTTGTAGAATGAGGTGCAAATCTACAATTTTGAAGCATGCTCAAAGTTTCTCGCTTCATTTTTTGCTTTTCCTATTCCCTACAAAGTTTTTCAATTATGCATTTTACTTGTGGATATCAAGGTGATATTTTAATGTGCTTTATGCAAACATTTTGAATGTAAAGTCTTAACGTTTTGCTATAAAACAAGGGTCTGTTGTCTTTAGCATGATTATTAGCATCAGTAATTAACTGTACCTCTTTACGCGGATCTTATAAAGGCAAAACCGGCTTGATAAATCACGTTTAACCATATTAAAAGCCTAATTATGTTCCGTTTTGAACATAAATTTTAAATTTTTCTTAAATATTTCACGTAATACTATTGCTTTTTCACAATAGTATTTAATAAATCTTGATACATATGTGCATAAACTAAAAAGACATTAAACTCACTTATCGTTGTAGGTGATCTAGCATACTTTTTAGCTTCTACTTTGTTCAGATCGGAATAAATACCATATTTAGATGTTTTGCTACTAAAAGATTTTGCTTTCTCTGAGAAATAACACACTTTTTTAATTTAGTTTGAGTCCAAATGTTCGTGTTTTGATAAACAAAAAATCTAATTTTCTTTAAAAATTTTGTTTATTTGACTTATATTATAATATCGTACACTGTTAAGTTTTACTTTATGTTTTTTTCCATGGCTTTGTTTAATAGTTTTTTGAAAAAATTTGAATGAGTTGTTGATTTCATACTTTAATCTTTTGTGTGGTGATATGACTGAAAGAACTTTGTAAAGAAAAAGTGTGAAGTTGCTGGCTAGTTGCTAATTCGTTTCATATCAGACAATATACATTATTTTTCCTAATCAATTAATAACTTTTTTTTTTTTTAGATTCCTGGTGCATTCGTGACAGATAGCATAAACCAATATATGAATATAATTTTAGACATGAGAAGCTGCTCAATGTATAGTGACTTTACTTTAGAGATTCCATTGAATATTTCGTTCAACGATAATGCGGGATATTTAATAAACCAATTCACATCGCTCAAAACAACTGTAACAATTACCCACAAACTAAACCGAATAAACATTAAAGATTATGATGCTTTAAAAGGTTTATAACAATTTTTTTTTATATTATAACATTTTATATAACATTTCTTATTTTTCAATCACCTGATTATAAAAAAATACAAGTAGTGTCGTAATGTCTCTTGCATCTATACGCATGTATTATTGATATCAGAGTGGAGTGAACATACCCGTACCGTTTATTTTGACCACATACTTTCTTTGAGGTCTTTTGGAAATATAGTCTTAAAATCCTATTGGCTGTTGTTATCCAGCGGGACATGTTTAGAGGACCATGATCACGTGTAATAAGATTTAGTGGACCTATGTCTAATCTAAAACGAAAGCAATATCTCTTAAGTACTTCTGATTGATACTCAAGGTGAATATATTTGATGGCAAGGTTCACTTAACTAAATGTTACCACTGAAATCTATTTAATAAAAATATACTGATATAATATTGAGCACAGTGTGCTCAATATTATATCTATATAATTTTGCACAGTGTTGCACAGTGGTTAGAGTTCTGGCTCAGAACCTCGATGTGCAAGGTTTGAGACCAGCTCTAGCCCAATAAGCATAATTAGTAATGAAGAAGATGTAAACTCCCTGGCTATATACTATTCCACAGGAATTTGTGATATGACCGAAAGGACTTCTGAAAACACTTAAGTAAAAATTAAAAAAAAAAAACATAAAAAAACATGTTTTATTAAATTCTCTAAGCCAGGTGCAGAAATAACTAGCTACTTATTCTTGCGTTCAAAAAGCGACTCTGAGTTATAAAATATTCGCTACGGCTCTGATGCTTAACTTATGAATCCATCGGGTAATTATTTAAAGGTTGTACTTGTTAAAGTTTTCCTAGCTTACCGTTGGAAAACAGAAGAGATTGAAATTGGTATTGCAAGTAGTGGCAAATAGTAAGCAATGTAACAATAGTAAATAAGGTGATATTTTTATTGTAAGTTTACCTTTGCTGTTTATGTCTGTAAAAGTCTCTATATTTATATTATATTTGCCGTTACAAGCGCAACTTTTGTGTTTTGTGCAAGAAACTTAATTTCATTCCAAATATTTTGTTCCGAATATATTTTATATGCACTAGAAAAAAAAAACCTTAAAAAATACTTATTGCTATATTAAGTGAAATTAAAGAATGGGGTTTAACTAATACATCAGTGATTGCTTGCTCTCGATATAATGAAAAATCGTGTTTAAGAAGAAATTGATTGGTTACAAACGTCTAGAAAATTTAGTTGACTTAGAGAGTTTTGGTATTTAATAGTATACTAAATGGCTTTATCTTGTGAATTTAACATATTTAAAAAAGATTTTGCTTCGTTAATATTAGAAAATCGGGCGTGACTATCATTAACGTAACTTTTATAAGTTATTGGTGTAGAATTGAAGCTTAAAGCTTGCTGGATAGCATTAAATTTGATAAATTTTAGATAGGCTTCCGACATAATACCCATAATGGACAAACTAATCGGACCAGAACTTTTCAAGATATGTATTTTGTCATCCCATAAAAAATAACATTTACTTACACAAAGTTCAATAAGCTTGTGGATATCTACTAATGACAATTTAGTTCGCATCTTATGATTATCTTTATCTTTGTTTAGAATATCAATTATAGCAATTGCTGCTTTATTTAGTGGAATCGATGGATACAAATTAATAATATCAAATGAAACCTGAATTTCATTATTTTCGATAAACCATTCTTTAGCCTCAGATACAAAAGAAAAATACTTTTTACATTATATTAGTTTTTGTTAAAGCTAGGCTGTATTATTTCAACAAAATGTTGTGAAAGTTTATGAGCTGATGTGTCAAGAGTTGAAGCTATAGTTAGAATGGGGTAACCTGAATCACTTTTATGTACTTTAATGCTTCCATATAATTTAGGTGGAACAGCATCAGAAGGATATATTTTATCATAACTTTTTTTATCAATTTTTTTTTCCTTTTTTTAGTTTACTGAGAGTTCGTTGATTTTAACAAAAATTTTTTTTTTGCAGGATTGACAGCAGAAAGAGTGTAGTTACCAAGTGGTTCTTTAATTTTTTTTTATGCTGATTCTGAATCTAAAATAGCAAATCTCCATCCTTTATCAAAAAAGTATATCTTTATTTAGTTTAAGTTTTTTAGCTCATTTAAAGCTAGATATTGATTTTTAGAAAGATTACTAGCTAACTTTACATTTGAAAGCTTGTTTAATGCTTTATTCACATTTTGTTGCAAAAAATCAGCTTTTTCAACATTAACTTTTTTCTCTAAAGTTTTTAAGTACATTTTTCAGTTGATGCTACAATGTCCATCAACAGAATTTGATTTTTTGATGGTATATATTGTGGGCCAAGGTTTAATAAAAATTTCTGGTTGCTAGATAATAGCTTACTTAAGAAGTTTAATACAGTATTTTTTACTATACTGCAAGTTTGTAATGAATCAATGTTAGGTGTGTTAGGATGAAAAGTTTCTTCGGAGTGTTTAGGAATATTAAAATTACGTATTAAATAATGTTTGCTTTTCTCGATTATAATTTCTCTGGATTTATTAGAAATGCTTTCTGTTTTTCTAGACGTTTGTATTTAAACTAATCAATTTCTTCAAAAATACAAATTTTCAATATACCGTAAGCAAGCAATAAATAATGTATTAGTTAAACCCCATTCTTCAATTTTACCTGATATAGCAATAAGTATTTTTAAAGGTTTTCTTTCAAGAGTATATTAAATATCTTTAGAAAAAATAATTTTCAGATGTTCCCAAAAATTATAAATTATCACATAAAAATGCAATGAACCAGCAAAAAGATCATGAAAAATTTGACATTCTACCATGGATACGGAAACTAAGCATTATACTTATAAGAGAGTTTCTTAGAATAGGTGTAAAAGTCGATTTTTGCTCTAGCAATTCTTTACCTAATATTTTATGCCACAAAAAATCAACATTGCATCCAAATAGTTATCCTTGTGTCTATCAGTTACATTGTTTAAGTGGTGCAAATTATGTCGGCGAAACTAGAAAAAAAATTTTCACACGTGGTGATGAACAAGAAAAAAACATAGCCAAAATTAACTGGGACGCATCAGAAATAGTTGAACACGCCCTACGTTGTCATGGATCAATTAGCTGGAGTAAACCAAAAATTATTTCTATTATTCCTTTTAACTATACGCGTAAGATTCAAAATGCAATTGAAAAACAGCGGTTACAGCGCTCTAAATCACAGGAAAATATCTTAAATCGCAACTAACCCTAACCCTAACCACCTTTTTTAACTTCACAAGTCTAAATTTGCTACGTTGCAACAAGGAGGTTTAATAAACAAGAGACGGTGTTATATGACTTTTTGAAACAGCGCTATCTTAGTAAATCCAAAACATTTAACGGAACTTAAGATTTAACTAAAAAATATATAAGTTCTAGTCAAAAGAATGCGCTAATGAATAGAACTACTCGTCAGTTTATTTTGTCAGCTTTTTATATGTTAGAAAGAACTTTTTGGTAACTGATTGCTATTCTCAGTTTATTCTAGTAACACATTGGAATATTGAAATAGACATTCAGATAGCAATACTTCAACACAATACAAGAAGATAATGTTCTACATAAACTGTTGTTTATATATATATATATATATATATATATATATATATATATATATATATATATATATATATATATATATATATATATATATATATGTACATATATATATATATATATATATATATATATATATATATATATATATATATATATATATATATATATATACATATATATATATATATATATATATATATATATATATATATATATATATATATATATATATATATATATATATATGTATATATATATATATATGTATATATATATATATGTATATATATATATATATATATCTATATATATATATATATATATATATATGTATATATATATATATGTATATATATATATATATATATATATATATACATATATATACATATATATATATATATATATATATATATATATATATATATATATATATATATATATATATATATATATATATATATATATATATATATATATATATATATATATATATATATATATATATATATATATATATATATATATATATATATATATATATATATATAAATGCATATTTGGGTAATTTAAAATATATTCTACAAAATACTGTGTTCTTAAAAGAACATAGCAATTTACAATTAAACACATATTTATTATAAAATTATTTTTCTTTACCTTTACATGATTTATACTGAGTGTGGACTATAAAGTTGATAAAAAGATATAATTTGACATGATTCATTTTGCCTATGACTATATCAAATTATGACCATATCATTTTGCCTATGACCATATCAAATTTGCAGTCTCCTCAAAATGAGTTGGATAAAACTTTACATAATCATAATTTTTGAACACTAAAATATTTTAATATGAAATTTAAACTTTTGTGATAAATATAAGTCTAGTTAGAATTAGTACAAAAATTATTTCATTAACTTGTTGCTCCTACGTTTGGGTCAGGATAAGTGACATAGCTACATATTTAGCGCTTTGAGGAAGTAAAATTTGTGCGCCCCTCTACTCTCAAAGTTAATTAAGAAAATTGCAAATTAACAATTGTGTTTTTATCACAAAGGTTATAAACAATATGGAATAGTAACAAAGTTGAACATCTTTCTAAATTATGCTTATCTAGTTTAAGTATTTACATAAATTGAATTGGAGTGCTGACACTGTTTCTAAATATAATAAACAAAAATTAAAAAAATTCCCAAACATTTTGTACGCTTGGAACATTTGCTCCAACTGCTCCAATGTAGCTAAGTCACGAATTTACATACAACTGGCATTTTATGATCCTTTTTCAAGGTTAATTTTTTTTTAATTTAAACTATTTTGTCAAAAGTTGCTGAATTTTGTGACATTGAGGATGTATCTAAAATAGATCTATTCTGCTAAATTAAAGAAAAAATTAGCTTAGACTACA